ATATATATATGATGTCTCCCAAATTTCACCCCTCTAATCAAATCTCGAATTGGCTAGAGATAGACAACCAAGGTCATACACAAGCGTACATTATATCAGCGTAAACAATCGGTATCTAAGCCCAGACACGGTTACTCCGATTCACATGGATCAGGCAATTTTGGTTTTCAAATCAATTAGAAGCAACGGAAATTTTTCGATACATTTTCTTCACAACTTCCGACATGTGGCTAGACACTACAAATCACATGAGACTATTGTGAGTAGACACGAGGGTGGAACAACGCGCGCGCCAGAGAGAGAGACACACAACAACGTGTTTTGCCGTGTACGGTTGGGACATTCCGCACCGAGTTTCAATGGAACCAGATGAATTTATAATTGTGGAATATGACTCTTCCGTCACTGTTTTTCGCTGTTGTTGACTGACTCTTGTGCTCCATACCGTCAGGAATTCGAACTATATCAGAATGACGCCAGACAATATCCGCTAGTGCAGACAAATTGATCGTCTATCACGTGGGGATGGAATCGGTGAAGTCACGTAGTAGTCCGACCATGTTTAAGCTAATGCGATTGGATAGAACGTTATGACGACTGTCACAAGGTGCTGCTTTCGAATCCGCTTAGCACCGATCGTCTTCCTTAGATTTGCGTTTGTGTGTGAGAAGGGAGGGGATCTGGGATCCGTGGATAGATAGACTAATTAATTTATCCCCAAAGAGTTATGGCCATCCATGGAGAAAGTAAGACAGCGATCAAAATCATTTCTACTATACACAAAACTGATTTGAAGCAGTGTCAATCAACGTGCTGAAAAGCAAAAGGGCAACTTCGAGTGATTTAGACTGTATCGAATGGACAGAAATCGTCAAATAATCTACATTTGTAAAGTGAGAATCAACAGAGTTTTGTGTGAATGGATGAGACGCCACGGGACTGAGGGGACCGACACTGGAGTGGAAGTCAAGTCAAGTCAGTAGTAGTAGTAGTAGTAGTAGTAGTAGTAGTAGTAGTAGTAGTAGTAGTAGTAGTAATAGTAGTGGCCTAACAAACCGACTGGGAAGCATCTAGCACAGAGATATACCCAATGAACAGTTCGGTATGAGTCACACAGCCGACGATTTGTGTCCTCATCCCATTTCTTCCACGTGTGACGCTATTATCAGTCAGTATCAGCTATGTAAAGTAGCACCAATACGGATTACTGGTCATACCCGGAAAGCTGATTCGGTTAGATGAAAGAAGTCCTCGTCCACCAAGGCCTGGTTACAAATGTAGTGTTGTGCTCCACACGATTTGCTATATCCCTTGATTTTTTTAGGCCCCAACGACCCTTTCAGTAATGTGTAACAGGTAAAAGAATTCACCAATGATACAAGGTTAGTGTACAAACAAAATATGCGTAACTGGGAAAAAATAGGGATTGTCAACGATCTATGTGTTTGCGTGCGAATTTCCCTTCTCTCCAAAAGGCGTGTGACCGACCCCAACGCAACTACTCATCAAAATAGCTGGTGAAATTCGTCTCAAGGTATATGACTAACTTCAGTGCATGAAGTGCTGGAAATTCGTAATGTTGGTCACTGGTAGATGAGAGCTATTTGCCT